CCCCAAAACCCCAAAACCCCAAAACCCCGACTTTGTGTATAAAAATTGAAAATATATTCAAACTTAGAACAAATGGGAACTCAAACTTGACTTATTGATGAGCAAAAGAAACAGATAATCAGGTAAGCTAGGCAGAAAAGTTAAGAAAATTAAAACTCAAAGTTTTAAGTGACAAGATTTGTGCGATATTTAGACCGAATTCCAATGGTTTAACCCAAAGGCTCTAAAGTGTTATGTATTAATAGAGACTCTCAATTTATCTGAAATAGCTCAAATAATTTAATTTAAAGTGAAACCTTGTTAAGTTCTCAAAATGTTAGCTTCAGAATGTATATTTTATTCTTTATCTTGGCTGTAAACTCATTGATTTCAATAAAATGTCAATCATTATCAAAACTTTTGATTTTGCCAATATCTTGATGTTAAGATCGGTCTTAAATTGTAAGATGGTTTGAAACCCATACTCCTTAATTGCACTTCTATCAGCAGATTTCTACTCTTACTTATTTGATGAAATGAAACTGAGGTGTCAGGCTCGATTCAGATCATAGTTTTGAAACCTCATTGATTAACTTTAACTTTATCTGATAAATTCTGATGCTCATTGCACATTGCCTGAACTCATTGTTTTTAATTATTCAGCCTAGAGGAATCTTTGATGAGAAAGAGCAAGGAGCAAGACTACAAAAGATGTTGTAGTATCTACTTTAACACTTTCTTATGGGAAATAGATGCTAAGCCATTGGACCCAAACCGTCAAGAAAACTTCGATTATGAGGAACTTTTCCTTGGATTTCATGCTCCAGAACCAACAAAATTTTTGAAATAAATTAAGATCGTCAAAATTCTTCGATATAAATAGCATCAACTTGGTCAATATTAAGGAGAAAAACAAGGATATTATTAATTTCGTGTATCACTCAACTCCGAATGTTGTATATCACCTCTCTATTTCTTTTACATATTCAGTCAAAATCTGTAACTCAAGGTTCTTGAAATCTGTGATCAGGTTGAGTTCCAAAGCCACCAAAAGTGCTATATTCCAATGATTCAAATTGAATGCTTGTCAACTAAAAAGACTAATAACTGCTTGCAGGCATGTACAGACACTGTTTATTGAATATTGCAAGCTGTCTGTTCCCAGCGTCCCTGATTTCTCAAGAGCACTTAATCATTCCCAAATCCAGAAGCTAAGTTTGAAGGGATCAGGCCAGCTTCAGTACAGCCACTGGAGGAGCAACCTTGTCGAGTTCAAGAACCTGATCCAAGGCCTTGCAAGTTCTTCAGATTTGAGACTTAGTCTTAGAACCATAGATATCTGGTGTTGCCAGATTAATGAGAATGATGCCCAAGAAATCTTTGCCAAAAATCAGCTTGAAATGGTTGAAATACTAATTGGAGTTTAAATTCAAGTTCATTTTCAATCTGTATTAGTAAAAGTGGGGTTTTGGGGTTTTGGGGTTTTGGGGTGATCG